TGGTGTTTTTCTGAGCTGGCTTGAAACTTTATAGTCTTATTAAGTGACAGAATAACACCTACTACAAAACCAAGCCCTTCTTTTCTTCCTGTTTTAATCAGTTAAATTGGCTGTGTAATTAAATGATGAGTTGGACTGTGTGTACATCAGTATTCAAAGGTTGTTTGTGTAGAGGAACAAACCTTTCTATTCTAGGCAGTGAAATGATACAAATATAGGTGCGACTTCTGCAAGCAGAGAACTTCAACTTCTCTGTCCCTGGAGAAGAAATGAAACAGCTTACTCTAAAGTGAAGAGCCCTTTTCAAAAACTCCTTTCAGAGGATGCATGAGTGTTTTGGTGATGCTTTAAGCTGGGAAGAAACTTCACATCATTAGCACTGCATTTTAAAATGTAATGATTGTTTGCTCCATTAACTTTGACTAATGCTGAGATAAAAATGATTAATTGCCAGACTTAATGCAATTAGTGCCATGTGGCATCTGACTACTTCTATTTAAGTCTGTTGATGTGGGAAGCGTAACTCTTGCTGTGAAATGTTCTGCCTTGTGTCAGAATCTGAAATATTAGAACCATTTTAGTGTTTAAATTGATACTGCAAATCTTAGTGCTGTGGAAGCATTAACAGTCTACTGCTAGTAAAGGTCTACAATAGAGGAAATGTGAAATTATATCTGAAATGATGTCAAAATTTCAGATATGTTTTTAAATGTTTTTGATTTATGTTGCTGGGAAAAGAAATGATTTTTGTATGTCATCCTGATGTATAGCATTGGGAAAACTAAGAGGAAATTTAGTGCAGAGAACTCTTCTGTTTGGTCTTGCTGAAAGATCTCTCTGCTTGTATGTTTAGTGGCCTGTCATGGCTAAAAGAAGTATGAGTAGAGAAGAGATATTTCTGTTTTCAAAAGCCTCTAGGGACTGCAGATGTAATACACTTCTAAAGTACAAGGGATCAAAGAAAAAGAGGCATTTTCAGCTAAATTTGTTTATAAATACCTGAGAAGGCGCTAGTGTGGAAAGGATGACTTGACTTGCATCAGGTTGAGGGTAAAATCTGCCAATGCTGCTTCTGTCAAGTGTCTGATTGTCACATGTAACACAGCAGCTGATTTGCAGCATATTTGATGAAGTCATTAATTGTAAAAGCTGGGACTAGTACTGGGAAAGGTCATGGATTTCAAGGGGAGTGTGGGAGTAGTGCTTATGGGCTATAGATGAAACAGATTACATGCTACAGCGGGATCAGGTCTAGCCACAGTATGAGTTCCAGGAAATTTAGTATTTGGAAGACTGTAAAATGTTTTCCATATAGCAGAAAACCTGTGTTTTTCCATGAAGGCTCTATCTTTGTTATTTCTTTGCTGCTGGGTTATGGTGTGTTGCAGAAACAGGGCTTGCTCTATGTCACTGAACAGGGAGAATGTAAATCTGTTCCATGTACCCCCTGGGCAGCTGTTTGTGGGGCTGACTTGACTTCAATCAGCAGAGCCTTTCCATCTCCTCAAAGACAAAATGTATAGGTGACTGACAGCTTGGAATGGTCATAATGCTGCCCTTTGACAGCAGTGAGGAAAGAGAAAAATAGGAATAGACTGTTGAAAAGGCCAGATACCAACTACACTCTTGGGAAGGAGGAGAACAAAGGGTGACTTAAGCTTAGCCATAAGACATGAGGCACTTGTTGCACAAGTCAGACCAGTCTTTACTACTTGCAAGCCCCAAATTATACCCAGCCCAAGTCTTTACATTTGTGAAGTCTATTAGGAGCTGTCATAAATGTTTCAGCTGGTGTTGACAGAGTCCTGGGCAGGAGGGTGGCTTGTGCTAGGTTTGTTTTCCTCTTTTCCTTTGAAGAAAGGAGCATTGTTCAAAATTGGGTTTACTCCTTTCACTGTAGCTTGTCACACATTAGCAATTACAGTTTCTACTGGCTTTGCAACTGATTATGTTAACCTTCAGCAAATTAATTCTCTTTTGGCTCAGGACTGCACACACACCACTTTGTAAAATGGAATTACAGTAGAACCCTGCCAGTTCTTGTCACTCCACTGTGTAACCCTTGTGGTAACATTCATAAGGCTTAATAGTGAGGTGATGACATGAGTGTTCAGACTGCAGCTTCCAGCTGGCTCTGTTGTAGGCATAGCTGATGGAGATGATTAAGTTTTAAGGTGTACTTATTTATGTGAAATGCATATAAAAATAATTGCAAATGAAGACTAAGTAAAAGGCCAAGTTGTGTTTTATTAGATAGCATTCTTTTTCTGGTTTATTGCTGGTTTATTCTGAGTTCTTTCAGTGCTCTGTTAACTAATATATATTAGCAAGGCTGTGTTGTTAAAAATAGTCATAGACAGATTGCAATAACTGATGAATATTAGCAGAGTTCTTCTAAGTCCTTTACTCAGTTGCTGCTTAAAAGCAGGATCATAAGAGTAGTTGATTTAAATTCTTTGCAGTATATATTGGACTCCTAAACTCTAATTTCATATTTTGACACAGGCTTCCTCTATGGAATATTGCTTAGCAGGGCTGCCTTGGTTTCCTTGCTCTTGCTTTGAGTCCTTTGGGGATCAGTTGAAAATTGCTTGGAGATAGTTTGTAGTAGGAGTTAATTCTACTGATTTCCAAAGTGACCAGTTTCCACTGGTGACTGTGCAGTATCTCACAGGGGATGCTGCAGAATGCAAGTGTTCTGCTGTAGTGAAACTTGATTTCCATTGAGATGAGAAATCAGTTGTGTTTCTTCAGGAAAGTTAAATCCTTACTTTCATATCTTCCACCTGTTACTCCTCATGTAGTAAAACTACAACTGAGTAGTTAGATGCCACTCTTCTGACGCACTACTCAGAAGAAATGCTTATTGTTAAGGAGAGAAAGAATGTGTGTGTTGCTGTTGGAATGTTTGGGGTTTTTGGTGCAAAGCGTAGTGGAACATAATGATTTTCATGAATAGTTTTTCTGCGTCTCTAGCTTTTTTTTCCTGCTTCTGAATAGATAATTTCCAAGCCAAAATCTTGCATTATCTGTCTGTAAGGCTTTACTTGAAAACACTCACAGAAGTAGATATGCTAAACCTGGAAGATGGAAGAAAAATATCAGTGTAATGTATCTCTTAGTTATTGCTGAATGTGCATGGTATATGTGATGAAAGAGTACCAGTGATGTTAAAGAGCGAGTTGTTTTTAGGTGCTGAAGGTATCTCTTGAGAGAGTTAACCTGGAACGAGTGCTCATGCTGTCATTGTGTGTGAGATCTTTTTGTCTTCCCCACAGATACGCTTTCAGGTAAGGACACAGCCAGTAGTTGGATTTACAAAACCAGTTCAGTAATTCCATCATGAGAAAAATGGAAGATGACTTTTGTGTAGCAGGAAGATTCCTGCTGTGTGCGTACGGATGTTGGCAGTAAGAAAATGCCTCTTCTGAAGTAAACATGTCTGGTGGTGGATATCACAGTAGCTCAGTGTAAACTCATAGTGAAGCCATAGACCAAACTACTGACACTTGGGGTTGGGTAGGCTCCATGGTTGCTAGTTAGTGGTAATGACCAAGGAGCTGCTGCCAGTTTCCAGGCTCAGGACTCTGCCAGGCAGTGTGAGGAGGAACATTAAAACAATTGAAAGAATTTCTTTTTCCATTCCCTGGGGGGAGAAAAAGAATAGTCCAACGCACTTGATCAGATCTCCTGTTCCTGGCATTCTAATGCTTTTCAGGATGCAAGGAAACCACAGAATGAGGTCAGCAGGGACCTATCATAATCATTTGGTCCAACTCCACTGCTCAAACAGGGTCACCTACAGCCAGTTGCCCTGGACCATGTCCACATAGCTTTTGAGTGTCTCCAAGGACGGAGACTCCACAAACCTCCCTGGGTGACCTGTGCCAGTGCTTGGTCACACTCACAGTAGCAAAGTGTTTCATGATGTTCAGAGGGAACCTCCAGAGTTTGAGTTCGTGCTCATGGCCTCTGGTCCTGTCACTGGGTACCACTGGGAAGAGCCTGGCTCCATCCTCTTCGCACCCTCTGTTCAGGTATTTATATACAACGATAAGACCCCCCTGAGCCTTTTCTTCCCCAGGCTGAGCAGTCCCACTGATGGGCTTTCTGTTGGTAAAACAGAGCTGGAAAGAAAGACCTGGAAGCCCACACAAGGCTCCCAATGCTACTCTGGTAGCATGAGTGCTCTGATTTGCTTAGGTTAAGAAATGGAATTGGCTGGCTTTTGGCTGTAAGCATCACATAGGAGCTGATATTTTACTTAAGAGATCATGTGTAAGGACTAAAATCTGTGCAGGAGAATGGCCTGATGTGTATGTCCTTGAATATTGGGCATGGAGGTTTATTTTTTCAGGATGCAGATGAATTCTGCCAATATTAAATCTTGATTTTCTTTATACTTTCATCAACAGAAATGTTCTTTTCAACTCCTGACATCCCAAATATTTCAGTTCTCCATGATACCCTGAATAATAAGGGAGTTTTAAACAGAAAACATGTAAAATCTTCATCCTGTAAGCAGAGAATACTGCACAGTTGCAGAGAATGCCAAACAGTTACAGAGATTTAAAGTGTATTTTTTTAGCTACTTAATTCCATGGTTTATTAAGTAGTTACCAGAAACAGGGTACTTCAAGCCCCATTTTTGGGAAGTCCTTTGAATAAGGTGCTTTTCATGCAGCGCTTGGGTAAATCCCAGTCCGAATTCTTACCCCAGAGCATAACAGTGATGTGTCACAGGAGCCGTGTCCTCTGAGGCTGTTTGTTCAAGTCATCTTGTTTATTCTTAGCTGGAATGCAGGGCTGTGGGCTGTGGTGGAGGACACCAGCACGGGGCCTGCATGACACTTCTCGTTAACAAACAGCATCTTTGTTCCAGTATCTGCCGCTCATGTAACTGTAGAGGGGCAGTGTCTGGAAAAAGGAGGAGCCCGTGTCAAGTGGTTTGGTTCTGTGGAGCAAGTGCTGCGAGAGGAGGAGGAGAGCTTTCCCTGTTTGTTTTTGATAAACTGATTCAGAATATGGTCTAGAAACACAGATATACTTCATGAAGACTAAACCAGAGCTTTACAAGGACAGGGCAGAAATCTGCAATCTGAAGACTGGTAAAGTGCTGTATTATTTTATGTACTGGTCTTGAGCTGTTTGTTATGCGTTGTTTTACTTCTCTCTCCTTTCACATTAGTGATAACTGAGTTTTAAATACTTCAATAGTATTAAAGTAGGTAGTTATGTTTAATGATGGAAGAAATGTAGCTCAGTTAGCTTTTGGAAATACTGTTTTCCTGAGCAAATTTCCCTTGCTGAGTAAAACAGATTGATTTCTAAGTAACTATTTCACTTTAGGTTAAAAGTTCCTCTCTCTGCCTGAAGAGAAAAATAAAGTATAATAAATAATACTTAATCTTTTCTGTTCAGAGCAAGCTTAATATCTATGTGCAGGCATTTATCAAGGTTTTTCCTTTTGAACATTGTCTACCCACAACAAAATACTATTAGATGCACGTCATGGCTTTTATTTCATTGTTTGTGGGAATGGACTCGAAGGAAAATAAACAGCCTGAGTATTAAAGAGACTTTGATATGACCAGAGACTTAGCAAACGTTTTGTTTATTGCTCTGATATGTGCTTTGGATGTGTAGATGTGTAGCAGCTGGTGGTAGAGCCTGCAGACACACAGGAATTTGTGCCAGGGTAGTTCTTTGTGCAGTGGAATGTGTAATGTGCAAACAAGCAAGAATTTGAGTGAAGTAATGGAAAACAAATTGGCATGTTCAAGTCTCTGGGGTTTTAAACTGCTCCATAGCGTGAAGATGGGTCAAGGAACGAAAAAAGGGAGAAATCATTCCAGGATTTGGGATGACATTGTGCAGGATGCTCTCAGCATTGCTGCTGGGGGTGTTGGTTAACAGCCACTGAACATGAGCAGCTAGTGCCCAGGTGGGCAAGAAGGCCAAGAGCATCCTGGCCTGTATCAGCACCAGTGTGGCAGCAGGGCAAAGGCAGGGATTGTGCCCCTGTGTTGGGCACTGGTGAGGCTGCACCTCGAATCCTGTGTTCAGCTCTGGGCCCCTCACTACAAGAGAGACATTGAGGTGCTGGAGTGGGGCCAGAGAAGGGCAGTGGAGCTGGTCCAGGGCCTGGAGCACAAGTGTGATGGGGAAGGGGTGAGGGACCTGGGGGGTTCAGTGTGGAGAAGAGAAGGCTCAGGGGGGACCTGATGGCTCCCTCCACCTGCCTGAGAGGAGGATGGAGCCAGGAGGGGCTGGGCTCTGCTCCTAAGGAGCAAGTGATAGAAAAAGAGGAAATGGTCTCAAGGTGTACCAGGGGAGATTTAGACTGAATATTAGGAAATGTGTTTACCACAAGGCTTGTCAAGCACTGAACAGGCTGCCCAAGGAAGTGATGGAGTCACCATCGCTGGCAGTATTTAAAAAGATGTGTAGATGTGTCACTTAAGGACGTTGTTTAGTGGCAGACATGCAGTGTTGATAGTTAGGCTTGATCTTAAAGGCCTTCTCCAACTTAAATGGTTCTGTTATTCTATTTAAATTTATTGCACATCTGTAAGAGGCAATTTACCTGCAGTCCTGTGTCAGCTGTGGGTTAAGAAGGATGTGGAGCTGTTGGAGTGAGTCCAGAGGAGGACAAGAAGGTGCTGCAAGGGCTGGAGCAGCTCTGCTCTGGAGCCAGGCTGAGAGAGCTGGGCTGGGTCAGCCTGGAGAAGAGAAGGCTCCTGAAGGGGAGACCTTAGAGCAGCTCCAGTGCCTGAAGGGGCTGCAGGAAAGCTGGAGAGGGGCTTGGGACAAGGGCCTGTAGGGGCAGGCCAAGAGGAATGGCTTTAACCTGCCCGAGGGGAGACTGAGCTGAGCTCTTAGGCAGAAGCTCTTTGCTGTGAGGGTGCTGAGGCGCTGGCCCAGGGTGCCCAGAGAAGCTGTGGCTGCCCCATCCCTGGCAGTGTTCAAGGCCAGGTTGGACACAGGGGCTTGGAGCAAGCTGCTCTAGTGGAAGGGGTCCTTGCCCATGGCAGAGGTTGGAACTGGATGAGCTTTAAGCTCCTTCCAATGCAAACCAGTCTGGGATTCCATGATTTAAAAACATGGAGTTTTATTTTAAATGTGCATATGATACATACAGAGATGAGCTAATTGTGGAGAGCAGAATAACACTCAGAATTCAGTTGGAAATCTTCTGCTACTCAGTCACACTGGCACCTCCAGATCATGTATTTCCTCTCTCAGAAGATAAGTACTGGGGCTGTTTAGGATTGTGTCCTTGTGTGCAAATAGTTTAATTTTTTACCTGTGTACTTAGATTTACATACCACCACCACTTTCTGTTCCTGAAGAAATTGTGTCTTTTCAGCTCCTAGAGAGTTGGTAAGGTAAGGAGAGACTGATAAGAGTGCTGAAGGAAGAGAGCATGTAGTGATGCTAGGCAGTGCTCTTCTCTCACTTTGTAGGGCTGACAGCAGTCCATAGGTGTCTAGTTTAGCAGCTTAAAATTAGGTTGTTGCAAAATGAACCAAATTCTAGTCCTATCCTCGAGTATCCTTTTGAAAGTTGAAATCCATCAGTTCATGAGTTAGCAGCCCCAACAAAACGAAGATAACCTGATTTAGAAGTGCAGCAGAAGAGCACTTAACTGGCTGTTATGTCAGTCCTCTTTCTTTTTTGTCCCTCATCACAGACTGGGACATTCTGTTCAGTTTTCTGACTCTGCCAATGCTTCAGTTCCTTTGCATGCTGCTTTTCTAAACTTACACATTTATAATACTTGTAAATGTAGGAAATAGGTTAACAGGTGGTGAGGGGAAAACACTCTCTGAGTGTTACATGTATCAGGCTAACTGTTCAGTAAGCTTTGTTCCTGGCCTTTCTCTCTCTGGTTTCCCTTTCTCCAGAGGTAGGTGTGACACTGCTGCTTGTCAGGGTTGTAAGCACTCTTGTTGTACCTTGTAAGCCTGATTTTTGGAGGGGGCTGAAATGCAGTGTTTTAGCAAGCCACGTCTCACCCAACCTATAGCTGTATCTGCGGTTGCCCTGGCCCAGGCACAGGATCTTACACTTCACTTTGTTGAACTTCATGAGGTTGGCATTGGCCGTTATTTCACATCTTTAACTGCTTTCAGCTATATAAGACTTACTGAATAAAACTGGTGAGACTTCAGAATACCAGTTACCTGTCTTCAGTTTCCTAGTGATGTACTTTTGTGCCTAGGAAGGTATTTCATGAAGAATTGTTTTTGTTCCCGTATTTAGCTTGTACTTCATCAGGAATCATTGTGCAATTCCTAACTTGGGGATATTTAAATAACTCCTCTTAGAAGATTAAAAAAATCACATTTTATGCTTACCTCTCAAAATATAACCTCTCGTCCCCAACTTGAGCTGTTCTCTGGGTTTTCAGTATGGATGGATTAACGTAACATTAAACTATCTTAGCGCAGCAAGAAGTTTAAGATGATTCTGGCAGGAAGTCAAGAGGATTATTTGCAAGGCAATGAATATGATAATTTCCCCACTAAATGTAATTGAATTGTCGTGAGGCACAGAACATGCCAAAGTTTGATTCCTATGGTACTCGTGCAGAGGAGAGGAAGGTAAGCCCTGGCCATGCTTTCAACCTTAGTAATTCTTTTAAGCAAAGGTTAAACTTTGCTTCAGCTGCTGCTGCTGCCACTTACCACATGTGTGTTGTTGAAGAGCTGTGCATGTATCAACCACTGTGTTACAATATTGACTCCTTATTATTCAGCCACACTCTTTGTCAGATCAAATCTTACATCTCCTTTACTGGGAAAGTCATAATAGAATTCTATTCCCCCTTTCTCCAAGCCCAGCAGCAGTGGTGCTTTAAACAAGTAAACATTTCCATCACAACTGTCCATTGGCAAAGAGATCATTAGGGTTGCTCAGTACTTGAGTTCTCTGCAGGAGCATCAGCTTCCTAAGCAAGCATGAAGTTTACTTTTGAAAACCCTATGATTTGCCTTTTATAAAGATACATTTTAAGCACTTTGTGTCTTACAAAAGAAAATGCAATTTATTTTTATTATGGTTTCTTTACCTTCTCACTTTGAAAGTAGTACTTGGCTTTGTCTACTGCTTCATGTCAGTGTAGATTTGGTAGCTTTAGTGGACCTCGTTGGTTTAGTGGGCATTGTGTGGCAGCTAGTAAAGGATAACCCCCAGGTTATTATAGCTGTCTTGGGGAATATGTAGTGCTTGAATGCACTCAGAGTAGAGTTCAGTGTCTGCCCTTGTGTGATGACAATGCTGGGGAAGGTTCTAGAAGGATGATGTCGTTGGTGTATGAGTTGTGTGTCAATGGTCATGTAGGTAGCTGGGGTAACAGAGTCCTGCAGTTGCTATGAAACTGTGTCACAATAAGCCAAACTGCTTTGTGCATTGCAGTCCTCTTTAGGCTTCTGAATAAAGGTGGATCCAGCACTGGAAGGAGCAGGAGGAACAAGTGCACTGCTTGGACAACACCAAAGGCTGAGCTACCCAAAATGAGCCTATTTACCTCTTACCGGGAGGGCATTACTTGTCAGTGATGTGGCACAGAGATGTGGGGGTTCCAAACAAAGCAAATGGAGTTAAAGGTTGTTTTTTACCTCCCTTGAGTAACTGTGTCAATACCTCTGTGTTGGTTCTGGTGCACATGGGGGGAAAAAGGACAGAGCTTGATGTCTTCACTAATAAATGGGAGTGATATGATTGCCAGATGTTGGTGACAGGCAGAAGGGGCCAGAATGAGGATAACTGAGGGTAACTTCTGGACATCATAAGTGGAAGCTCTGCAGCAGCTGTCAGACTTACAGTTTGGGGAAGCTTGGGAAAAGCATCACTGGTGTTTGTGTCTGCTATGGGGCATCCTGCTCAGCTTCAGGTGGAAAGATAGACCATGCTCAGTGTCTGAGAGCTTAGAAGGCCCCCTTGGCACAACTTCTTGTCTAAATATTGAGAAATCTGTAGATAAATCTTATTAAAGAAATAGTGGGTTTCAACAAATGTGTTAACAAAATCATATGATAGAGAACAGTAATTTCTGATTTGTTTTTCTATGTCATGGCCCAGATGGTGGATACATACAATTCTTGAAGTTCATTATGTTGCCATGAACTGAATAGTGACAAAAAAAACATATGCCTTGAGTTTTTTTTTATAACAGTGTGTGCTTGAAAACTGTTTCAAACCTTTTTGAAGCTTTACTTTATCTGGAGTTTGTTGCTTTTTAATAATGGAAACCAATGAACTCTTTCACAATCTTACCATTGATTAAAACTGATGTTCCTCATTGTTTTAAAATCATCACATTTGGGATGTTGAAGTTGAATATGTATGTTGTTGAATATGCAAAGCAGCATCTTTCTTATTTTTGCTTTCTTGGTGCCTTCTTTACATTCCTGTCCATGTCCTAGAGATGGTTTCTGCTAAGGGAACAAAGCTGAAGAACTGAATTCAGTTACACACTCAGCCTGCTTCACCTCCTCTCCATCAAACCAGATTTATCTGTGCTTTAAGTCCCCTGCTGTAGTAAAATCCACTGCAGTGCACTGATGTCCAGTGTGTACCCACATACCCATTTATTCCTGCCTATTGAGCTTCCTTTTGTCATATCCTTACGCTTACTCCAGCTCTGGGTTACCCAGGTTGCAGTTCCAGTCCAATACCAATGTACTTCCCTGCGTCTTGAGAAGTCAGTCTCAGGCATTTTCTCAGCTGAAGTCATACAGTATTTTTTCAGCATTCAACAGTATTTCACTCCTCTCTACAAGTCCTGTAAATAGTTCACACTTTAACCACTAGTGTATGTTTTGCCTTTCTTTGCCTATGTGAACGTTTGTGGAACTGGCCGCTGGTAGCTTTTACCATGGTCTTCAGCCTTTCAGTTAGTGGGTTGTGGAGTATTATTTTTAAAAGACCTTTGCTTTGGTGGAAAACTGGGACCATTCTAACTGAGCAGCTCAGACACCATCCAGTAATTGTGTTTTGCTCTGAACGGCACTCAAGACATGAACCGAGGTCACATTTTGCTTCGATACAATTGTTTTATTGGCATTTTTCCATCCAAGTAGGCTCTCTGATTTTCCAGATCATTAGCTGCAGTTCTTTGCTCTCAAGGGAGAGAATCTGAACAGCATCATCTGAATTCTCCACAGGTGCAGGTGCCGAGCAGGATGCTGCTATCAGACTTGCCCAAGAACGAGCAGAGATAGTTGCCAAGTATGACAGAGTAAGTGAACTTGATAATAATATTAAAGATAGCTTATAATTAGTGTTAGTAATATGTCTGTTTCAAAAATGAATAATGATTCCTGCTAGCTTTTGTTTAAAATACACTGTGTAGTACTGATCTGATGGTTTTGTGATACATTGCCTTCTGGATGAATTAAGTTTTCCATCCATGGGGGACATTCTGGATAAGGACTGAATCAACTCATTTTTCAGGTGCATGGCAAGTTGCTGTGGGGCTATTTTAAGGTATTGTAATGTATTAGATGTAATGAAATTGGGGTGTTTGGGGATGCTCAGTAGATCTGTGAGATCTGAGGTACTCTAATTTTTATTACATTTGTGGTTATGGTAATGGAAACAGTTAAATCATTACAGAGAACTTGAAAGATGAGTGAACTGCATTGTTTGTCAGATTACTGTGAGGAATTGAAGAAATACCCCAGGTATCCTTTTTCTGGAGCCATTTGCCAAGTAAGAGCGCAGAACAGAGTATGCCTGGAATGCTTACTCTGTGTTCACATATTCTTGGAACACTTATGGACTTCATAAGTGTCGCTGGAGCACTGAGCATTAGGCTTCTAAGTTGAGTTCATAAAATGTTTTACATGCTGCATGTAGTAATGCTTTGCACAGTGTGCACTTAAGGGAGTGACTCTGGGTTTTTAATAACCACAACTGTGGTGCGTTGACCCTAGCAGGACGTCAGGTGCCCACCAAAGCCACTCTGTCACTCCCATCCTCTACTTGACAGGGGAGAGAAAATACAACAGAAGGTTCATGAGTTGAGATAAGGACAAGGAGAGATCACTCAGTAATTACCATCATGGGAAAACCAGACTTAAATTGGGGGAATTAGTTTATTATCAATCAAATCAGAGTAGGGTAAGGAGAAATAAAACCACTTCTTTTTTCTTGGGCTTAACTCACTTGGAGTTCTCTCTCCTCCCTTCGAGCAGCACAGGGAGATGGGGAATGGGGGTTGTGATCAATTCCATCACATGTTGTTTCTTCTGCTTCTTCCTCCTCAGGGGAGGACTCCTCACGCTCTTCCCCTGCTCCAGCGTGGGCTCCCTCCCACGGAAGGCAGTCCTCCATGAACTTCTCCAACATGAGTCCTTCCCATGGGCTGCAGTTCTTCATGAACTGCTCCAGTGTGGGTCCCTTCCATGGGTGCACTCTTCCAGGAGCAAACTGCTCCAGTGTGGGTCCCCCATGGGGTCACCAGTCGTGCCAGCAAACCTGCTCCATCCTGGGCTCCTCTCTCCACAGGGCCACAGGCTGGCACTGGCTCTATTGGACATGGGGGAAGCTTCTAGCAGCTTCTCACAAAAACCACCCCTATAGCCCCCTGCTCTCAGACCTTGCCACACAAACCCAATACATTTTGTGGTTTGCTGGTGGCTTCTCTTCATACTCCATAACCTATGTGTAGCCCATACCAGTAGAAATTATAGCTGAAAGTCTATTTCTGCAAGTCTTATGAAAACTGGTAATTGGAGTAGACAGAGGAACATGAGTGAATGCTTCATTGAGGGAAAACTCAGTGCTGTGTTCTGTCTGACAGCTGCTGTAGCTCAGCATGGGCATTAGTGGTTGAAACTTACTCTGTGTACAGCAGTGACCAAAAGAGATTTCCTCTGATGAAAATACCCTTCATGGGGGCTGGGGGAGGGTTTGCTACTCTCCTTTTTCTTGCTTGGTCAGTTTAGGACTAGTGTTCTCCTCCCCTTCCTCTATCCTACTACAAGTGTGTCCCAAAGATTAGTCTTTGAGTGGTTGAATCATCTGTTTTTTAGCTTACTGTGTCATAAAACTCATTTTGGGTCTTTTTTGTTTCCCTTTCCCTCTAGGGCCGGGAGGGTGCGCAGATTGAGCCATGGGAAGATGCTAACTATCGTCTCTACAAAGTCATAGATAGATTTGGGTTTCTACAGTAAGTAGCAAGCTTGGAAAGAAAATAAGATTAAGAATTTGCTACTATTATTATTTATACTTTTTAGTGTGTCAGTGGTTTTGAGTATTTTATTTGGGAATGAAAATTGATAGTCTACAAGAAATCTATTTGAAGCTGAATTGGGTTGCAGAAAAATTCTAATTTCAAGTAAGTGTGTTAGAGACAAAGTTGAAGTTATTAGAAGGAGTTTTAAAATTTTGTTATAATATTGATCTTTAAAAAAAAAAAAATCCCGTCGCATTTAAGGTTACTTAATGGTTGTATGTGAAGAATTGTGCATCCCAGTCCTTAAAAGCTAAATATCATTTAACTTCATGTGCTTAGTAGCCTTACTGAAGTCTCTGCTGATTGGGGACCTAATGCTGTATCTTAGTCAGAAAATGCCAGAATGAAGATCCAGTGACCGTGTGGGTACCTCCTTTCTAACAAATGATCTCTGTCTCTGGCAAATAGAAGATGAGAGTATTAGATAGTATTAGGACTGTTGAGGTTGGCAGATGTAAATATCCAACTGGCAGGAACTGAATGCAAGCTGACTTGCTGCTTTTGGTAATATCTACTCGATGTTCTCCACCATTCTTCAGCATTGGTGTTTGAATACATGAAGGGCAGTTAAAATGCAGGAAAATCAGCAGTGAGTGGAAAACTTAGTAATAACGATGTACTTTTACAGTAATGGGGGAGAGGGGAGAGAGTGTGTGTGTTTTTGGGGGATCCCCTTCTGTGCTGTTATTTTTATAAGCTGTCAGTTAAAGCAGTCTTTACCTGTAGACAGCCTTTGCTTTATCACAGTGAGTTAATTTGGTGTGTGACCCCCAAACATTCTGTTTCACACAGAGAGGTCTTTGTATTGGTAATCTGCAGCTGCAGTGCCACTGTCTGGTGTAGCTGCAGTTGCAGGGATGCTTCATGGAGAGTGGATGTCAGAAGAACTGCATGTGCAAAAGTAATTGAAGCCACTCTTAAGTTCAGCACTGACTTCAGTGGAAATTGAATCAGGCCTTCAGATTTGCAAGTGGAGTTATTGATTTTGGTATCCTTATGAACTCAACTTTTCCTCTTACTTATATTATGATATTTGCCTTTTTATATCTTAGGCATGGAAGAATATTATTCATGTCTGCTCCAGTTGCTGCTGCAGTCAGTTTTCAGGAGTCTCACATTTCATGGCTCCAGTTCTGTGATACATTTGAGATGCAGTTATGGAGTTATGCTGAATGGCAAACTGATGTGTACCTGTTTCCCTGCTGCTCTTGCTGTAACTTCAAGCTCCAGTGGGCATCTGCAGTTGTTCTTGTGATGGGACAGGATAGATGGAACTTAATTGTTAGACTACTTCCTCCCTAGTAATGTCTCTAGTCACCAGTGCACAAATTCTCTCTCTAGTCAACTTCAGGGGATGAAATTTGAGAGATTAATTATACTCTGTCTCTTCATTAATTGTATATTTCTTGTTCCTGTGCTAATTGATGTCTTTTCCTGAGTCAGATTTCACCTGAGACTACCATCAAGACCGCTTTGTGATTCTTTAAAGCAAATTCATTGCAACTGATGCTTTTATTTTCCTGAGAAATAAAACCTCTCCTAATAGGAGCTCTATAATTAGAATAAGCATATCAACTGTCTTTCTCCGAGAAGACAATTTATATTGCACTGTAGATATTCACTGTGGTCTGGGTTCATGTACACTGCATGTACACTGCTGACTGTGTGCAATCTGCTGTTTATGAAAGAAACTCCTGTTCTTCTGAGACTTTGAAACTAAGGTGTGGTGTACCAAAAGCCTCAAACGTTATCATCCGGGAGAGCTGTAATTCCCCACAACCTGTGTGTCAGGTGCTTACAGTGTAAGTTAACAAACAGGCTGATGCACATGGAGAATTGGGGGGCTGCATGAAACTTGAGATCTGTAATAATTTGTAATCTTGTTTACACTGACATCTTAAAATATTAAGTAGCTGGAAATGGTCTTTTGTATCAGAATGCTGTTGGATGTGGGGAACCTGATGGAAAATTAGGGCCTGTTTTCTCAAGTACATTAGGCCTTGATTAGTGTCAGTAGTTTACAAGCTTCTTTCTCCTTGGTTGTGTCCCATCTGCAGCTTTCCTGGGCTCTGTGTAGGTACATTCAGTTGGTTCAGTTGGTTGCTGATAGGTTAGAGAAGATAAGTTTGATGGGATGAAGCACTCAAGCTGCTTGTGTAGCTTGCCACTGAAGACAAAGAGTAGTTTTGGTTTAGGTCTGCTACTCTTCTGGTGTCCCAGCGTCCTTATTTGTGTGCCCAACTGAGAATCAGTGAACTGGGGGATCCTGAAGATGTGCTCTTACTGTCTTCCTGCCATTCCAATAGCAGTGGGTAAAGCTGTTTAGGTTTTTCCTCTGAGAGCATACTGAGTAGCAGAGGGAAGGTGCCTTTCTATGGACCGATATAGAAATTGCTAGTGGTTGGAAATAGGACATTTCTCTTCAGGTGAAATATCTCGCCTTAAGGGTAACAGTCATTTAATACCAGCAGGTGAAATATGTGGCAACTTTGGTCAATTCTAATTCTTGTACTATTTATTGTCTGTAATAGTTAGGACCATCTTTACCTAGCACTGTCTGAAATTTTTAATAGCTGCTGCCTTAAGAGCACAATTTGTTCACTGTAGTGCTTTTATTTTGCAAGTATGTCAATGAATGTGGAAGTTCTGGTCGACTTTGGATATTAAAAGGAAATTGGTGTGTGGATGGCTTATTAAAATAGCTATTTAAAACCAAGCTGAGTTAATACCTAGTGAATTTAGAGAAGAAGAAAATAAGTTCAGTGAGAATTACCACAGCATTATAACAATGAGAGTTACTTGAAATGAATAAAGGGAAGTTGGATATGAGGAGAAGGTTCCAGCAAACATGCTAAGCTGTGAAATAGCACCATGGGGAGCTGTCTGTCTCTTGAGATGCTGAAGACAAGATTATATGAAACAAAATGCACCTATGAGAAGTTCTGTCAGTGGGACTAAATTCAAATGGGTATGTTTTCAGTGGAGTAGCTCATCAGTTGTATTTGAGAGGCATGCATGAACCAGAATGAGTTAAAATCTCATTACTGGCTGAAATGTAGAAAGCTTGGCCTTAGCAATTACTGTTTTTGAGAGGCTGTAAGGAAGTGGTGGTCGTCATGGTTTGTTTAAGCCATATGGTGTTGTGGGCAAACCAGTCTCAACATGGGGAATTTTTACATAATTCAATTTATTGCCAAATAACACAATATTCTGATTGCTGGTTTGGATACAGAGACACCCCAAAACATCAAATGTTAATGGACACCTAGGGGGAATACCTCTCTCCCCTCTGCCTCCAGGACAAACTTCCTTTGCTTTTTGCTGTGGGTCACCCTTGGCTCACCCCAGTTTCTTTGGTGAGGCAACAGGCAGTGCAGGGGTCAAGGTCTTGTATGAAAGGGCTTCTTCCTGCTTTTCCTGGTTTCTTACTTGTTCTGGTCTGCTGCTGCTTATGTCTTTCTGGTGCCCCAGCCTGGATCTCATCTGGGCTGCAGACCCCTTGGAGGTGTTCTCTACCCTGGCACAGCATGCCTCCTCTAAGACCACATCTCCTTCCAGGTGTCTCTTCCGCTTCTCCCCACATCTCTCCATTTCACCTGCATCTAGCAGCTGCCATGCATTTAGAGTTATGTTTTTAGTAGAGGCATCATGGGTTCCTCCAACTAACTGAGGCTTTGGCACATGTTGGGTTGGTTGCAGCTGTTTTGGGCCTGGCTGGAGCAGCCATGACTGGCACAGGGCAGGTCATGGCTCTGTCCCACAAAGGTTATTGTGTGAATTTCTTCTAATACCTAATCTAAATCTCCCCTCTTTCATCTTAAAGCCATTCCCCTTGTCCTATCCCTAAGACCTCGGTACAAAGTCCCTCGCAAGCTTTCTTTTTGGCCCCTTTAGGTACTGCTCTGAGGTCTCCCTGGAGCCTTCTCTTCTCCAGGCTAACCCAGCCCAGCTCTCTCAGCCTGTCTCCAGATGAGAGCTGCTCCAGCCCTTGCAGCATCTCCATGGCCTTTCTTTGGACTCTCTCCATCAGGTCCATGTTTTTCTTACATTGTTGCCCCCTGAGCTGAATGTGGTGCTTTCAGTGCACTGTTTTCCAAGGGAAAAAAGGGCCATTTCAGAGTCTCAGAGGTCCTGAATGACTCTGAGGGGACAGATCAGTTCTGAGAGCCATGTTTTGGATGCTGATGTGCTGCCTTGTACCTGAGATTATGCTGTCTGTGTGCCACCTGGTCCCAGCTGATGGCTGTTCGTGCTTTCCAGTGCAGGACTTCCAACCCTGTTCTTCTGATCTCAATTTGTAAAGCAGTACAAGGCAGGTGAAGTAGCATTGAGTCATCTCGGTGCCATCTCATACAGTATTAATTCCATTAGTGTTGTTCATCTTAATTGATGCAGGCTTGTTTCTGTCAAATGCTGTTGGTCTTCCTCAGAGTCGCCACATGGAATAATGGCTATTAAAATGTTACTCTTCACTTACATTTATGTAGGTGTAGCCCATGTCAGGGAGCTCTTAGTCTCATCTTAGTCATGACCACAAGAGTCTTGAGAGAGCAGCAGCTCAGTATTTCTTCCAGTGCATTGTGCTTACCTGTAATCCTAAAAATGTTTGTTTTCCTCTTAAAATGAGGCAGCAACATCCCTACTCACAACTTTCAGGCATGGTCCTTATTTAATACAGCTTATTTTCCAGTAAAAAAACCTGATTTCACATTATAGTGTAAGAATACTGAAGAATGGGGCTGATGTGCAAATACGCTTTTTAAAAGGAACAGATTTTCCCTCCAGAAAATCCAGCACCAGTGTCTGTATATACAGTGTGATAGTGTTTTGGTAACTCCATGCTTGAAACTGCACCTGTTGAATAGTTTGTTCTATACCTGCAGTTGGTGGAGGTCCAGCAGGCCATCCCTGGGGACCACTGCAGCACTCAGATA